TAGAATTTGGGGTATATGGGGATCGTATTACAATATACCCAAAGCCATATTCCATCTACTTAAGGGGGACCCTAAACCCTAAACCCCTAAATAGTAGTTTCCATTTTCTTTTCCGTTATCCCTATATAACCTTAATATAACCCCGCGGGACTATAGAACAAAAGCCTAATCTGTGCGATGAACGCCTAGGCACAAGGAGGTGGTTCGTGTGCTCCTGGATGCTAGCTCCGGTTTAGTTATAGGACTAGGGCGGGCCCGGCTTGGGATTCAGAATTTTCAAGTTTCAGGGTCCAGTATGGTTTAGTTTTCAGATTTTAGTGTTCGGAGCTTAGTTTAGGACGCAAGGGTTCAGGGTTTAGGGCTTTAGGGTGTAGGCCTTTCGGGCTTAGGGCTCTACAGTCGCGTCTTGAGTACCTCTCAAGCCAATGAGGCCTTATTAGACTGTTACACCTGATTGCACATGATCTTGAAGATGCCGCAGCAGCAGCCGAGTAGCCCCCAGAAGGTCTTAAGTTGTTTGGGTGCAAGAGGTTCATGAAAGAAGGCGTGCGCTACCGAGGGCTCAGGGGCGTGGAGGTTCAAGGCATAGGGTTGCGTAGGTTTTGGGCTTCTGCCTTTTGAGTTCAAGGCCCCTAAGCTATTGTACTTCCCAGCTTTTAAGGTTCAACTCTAAACACGAAGCCCTTTGGTAGTGCAGGTTGGCTTTCATCAAGAACAGCCCGTTGAATTCGAAGGCGGAGTATGTTCAAGGTGGGCAGCATGCCATGGGCATCCTATACCACCCGGGCAAGTTGTAACGACTTCCCCCGACCTTACCAACATCAACTGAAACGGGAATATGAAATATATTCCTGCATGAGCTATAGTCTAAACTCCTTAAAGGGGCTATACCGAGAACTCTAACCCCCTGAAACCCCCTAAACTTTCAACCGGACACGTGAAAGCCTAAATGGCCTAGCTTAGGATGCTGGTGCAGACGTGGACAAAGGAGGAGAGGACGAAAATGCGCCTTTGTGCCATGCCGCGTTCAAGGGCGATGAGGCAATTGCGAGGCACTTGTTTTGAACTTTTTCGAGCTCAGGGCGTGGAATGCAAGGTTCCAGGTAAAGTTTATGGATTGGGGTCCGGGGTTTAGGTATTAGGGTCTAGGGATGAGGGTTTTGGGTTTAGGGATTAGGGTTTGGGGGGGATTAGGGTTCAGGGTTTAAGGCATGCTCTGAGAAGCGTTGAACCACGAGCAAGGGCTTTGGGCTTACGGTTTAGGTGGAACTTCTAGGTGGAACTTCGCAGCAAAACGTCAAAGTTCCAGAGAGCAGGCACTTCAGGAGACATTTTCTGATGTAGATATCATGTGTATAAATATATGTACTTAAAGCACGTTTTTTTCATATGTGTAGTACATGGAGTCCCTAAGCCTGCTCCACCTCCTCCTGGAGAAGCACGTGCTGCGAACCCTGCTGGAGCAGCCACTGCAAGACCTCCTCCAACTCCCGGCGGCCAGAAGACTTTGCGGGTTTAGGGTTTAGGGTTTAGGCCAGAAGAAAATGGAAACCCTAGGTCCCTTTAAAGGGATATATAGGGGTTATATAGGGGTTATATTGGGATAATGGAAAAGAAAATGGAAACCCGGTTCAGGGTTTAAGGTTCAGGGTGTGGGGTTTAGGGTTTAGAGTTCAGGATT